GAGCCAGGAAGGGCCCGCGACGTCCCGCGGTCGGACGCAGCCTTGGCGCCCCTAAATTCTGTTCTTTAATGTAGATTTATCCTCATGAAGTATCAAATTATTACTTAATTTTTTGGGGGGGTCTTTTTTTCTATCACAATAAGCTTATTGAAGACAATGTTTTTATTCTTTAATGTAGATTTATCCTCATGAAGTATCAAATTATTACTTAATTTTTTAGGGGGGTCTTTTTTTCTATCACAATAAGCTTATTGAAGACAATGTTTTCTGGGAACCAGCAGTAGCGTAATGGCTATGTCGCTGGACTCCCACATAGTCGACTGTGGTTCCTGTCCCTGACCCGTTGGCTTAAAACTCACGCTGGGCATGTGTGTGTGCATGCCCAGGATCCCAGGAGGAGAATGGAGTAGAAGGGATTGCGGCATGACCATTCCCCCTGGGGGGTGATTTCTCGCTTTCTGTCTTTATGTCTCTCTCTGTCTGTCTGGTGAGCGCACATGCCCTATAGCGAAAACCTCTAAAAAAAAAAAAAAAAAAGACAATGTTTTCTGAAACACTCAGAGCATCTGAAACATAGAAAACACTCAGTAATGATTGCCATGTTAAGGAGAGACCAATAATGATTTGCTTAGGTGTTACTTTTAACTTCTGAACCCCAGTTTTCCTTTTCTGGAAAAGTAAAATTATGTTACCTACTACACCTAACATTGCTTGAGGACCAGATAACAAGCGTATCTAAAGTATCTGGTGGGGCATTTTGTACAGATCAAGTACCTGGAGACTATTAATTCCTGTGAAAAAGCTTTGAGTTGGTTAAAGTCTTCTATTGGAAGACATGAGTATTCAAAAGTAAAGGACACGCCCAGTCTCCCTGCTATTGGATATGGCCATGTGATTAACTTCCATTGAAAAGAATCTGAGCAGATCTGTGTGCCACTTCCAGGCTAGACCCGTGAGCTCTTTCACACACATATTTTCATCTTTTTATCCATTCATAATGGCATGGCCTGGAGGAACCTTGAAAAGCACATGCTGACGCTGACTGAGTAGCCATCAGATTGGGTTCCTGAATGAGTGCGTGGAGCCAATTGGAACCATCTTTCCTAACTGCTGTGTGAACAAAGACAAATTTCTATTTTATTTGACCAATGATGTTTTGAGTTTCTTTGTTTTTGAAAAAGATATTTAATTTTATTTATTATTATTTTTTAATTTGATCAGAGAGAGAGAGGGAAAGTGGGAAGCAAGACGCCAGGTCTGGGATTCAAACTGCAGTCACACATGTGGGAGTCAAGCATCTTAACTACCATCCCACCTGCCAGCCCCGATGTTTTGAGTTTCTTTGCATCACAGGTTATTTACTCTAATTCTTTGTTCTTTCCCACTTTAGCTTTATCATAAAGCTTTACTCTAGAGAAGCTCAATTTTACGGAAGAGATGACTATGACCCTCAAAGAGGGACCATGGTCCCACAATCTAGGTGTCTTCATTATGTAACTAAAGTCCAGTTCTCTTTATTAAAACTGCTAGAGTCAAGATAGTTGTTTCTGTTTCAAGCAGACTGCTGGTCAATCTCTCTGTCTCTGTCTCAGGTTCCATTTCCACTATTTGCATGAAGCAGAACCCCATCTCTATCTCCATCCCCACTACTTGTATGAAGCAGAAAGTAAACAAACATGGAGGAGTTTTAAAGGGTTCTTAGGCTGTTTGATTACTATAAAGTCTCTAATGTTTGCAGAGGTGTGGCCTCAATTCCTGTCAACCAGCTAAGTTCAAAGGGGCAAGGCTTAAAAGGGGAGAAAGAGCTTTGTTGTTTCTTAAGGGCCAACCTTCTTAGTGGTATTTTTTCCCCAGGGATGGTTCTTTGTCACCCAAAACCATGGGAGGAAGATAAATAATACCTCCCAGTGTGTTGACAGTAACTTCATAGATCAGAAAAGGTTGTGGAAATAGGTCAGACCAAAAATATATAGTGGTAAGTACTGGCTGTGATGCTAGACTGCCCAGTGTTTGTCAACTGGGGAGTGCAGCCAGTCAGGCCAGGGTGGTCACCAAGACCAAAAAGAGAAATGCCAACAGCACAGTTACTGTCCTTGTTGGTGCATTGCAAAGGGGTCCCTTAGAGGGCCAAGAAGCCATAGACCTTATCCTGTAGAGCAAGGGATTTCAAGCAGCTTTTATCCTGACCTATAGGAAGAAGTACATTTGACATGTACACCCCACACACACACAAGAGCATGGACACATGTAGACACTTATGTAACAGTGGAACATGCTTTTTTTCAAGAAAAAACATACTTGCTACTCTGTTTAGAAATGTCCCTCTAAATTGGTTTTATGGCTCTGTATTGAGTTGTGACCCCTGGTCTGAAAAAATGCTATAAAGAAGATGGCTAGAATCCTTGAGAGTAATTACCTAGTATATGGCAAGATGAGAAAATAAGGAAGTCAATTTCAGAGCTGATTGAGAGGTCGAGATCAGAAGAAAAGTAGCTAAACACAGCAACAGCCAAAGATGGGGATTTTTTTTTTTTCACAGCAAAGAAAATATTCATTCTACGATAATCTAGCAAAGTGCTAGAATCTGAGTGCCTGTGAATAGGATATATAAAACCAGGGGAAAAGTTACAAGGTGATAAAGAACAAAGACCAAAAGAAGAAAGTCCCAACTCCCTTGAAAGTCCTTAGTTTTTGGTCAGAAATCTTAATCACAATGAAGTATTCTTGGGGACAGCAGGTGGCATACTGGCTGCAGCATGGGACTCCCACATGGCCAACCTGGTTTGAGTCTAGGATTCTGAGGCTTGAAACTCAGGCCAGGTGTACGTGTGTGCGTGCCCAAAAATCCCAGGAGGAGAATGGAGAAGGGATTGCGGCATGGCCATCCCCCCAGGGAGTGATTTCTCACTCTCTCTCACTGTTTCTGTCTCTCTCCTCTCCAATGACCACATGTACCCTAAGTCAAAAACCTTAAAAAATTTTAAAAAGAAGTACCCTTGATATATAACCAGAGGTGTGATGCATGCATATGCAAACACATATGTACCCACATTCCTTCATATTGTGACTATGTCCCCAAGTTTTTAGTTTTAGTTTTTAGTTAAAATTTTTTCAAGGGATGGGTAGGTACCTCAGTGGTTAAGGTGCTGGATGCCCACATGGCTGACCATGGTTCAAGTCCCAGACCGGGTGGCTTGCTTTCTTATTTTCCCTTTCTCTCTCTCTCTCTTTCTCTGTCTCTCTCTGGCCAAACAAAAAAATAATAATAACAAATGAAATAAAAATAAATAATTGTTTAAAAAATACTCTTTCTAGTTATTTGGGTTGTTACCAGTTATTTTTTTGTTTTCTAAGTACAATAGTAAAATATCTTTGAAATTTTAAAGCAAATACATCTGGATCAGGTGGACCCTAGTAACTATTCAGCCATGATCTAGTATCTAATGTTTATTTCCAAGGAACCAGATCCTGCAAAATGTAAATCAATAGAAAAAATTCCTACTTGGAGGAACCAAGTATATTAAATTCTGTTATTTAATCAGCCAAGGTGCAGTGACCAGCCCCTTTCACTGCTGATAAGGAGACACCAATACCCACCACAGTTGATTGACAGTGGGTAGTGATAGGCAGGATCACAATCTTTAATCTCCAGACTTTGAACTAGTGAATGACATCACTTGCTGCCCTATCTTTAACTAGCTGGTCCATAAACTGAAGAAAATCCAATTATGTCAATTTTCCTTTGGTTCTGAATATAATTGTTAAAATGAGAAAAACCCTCTGATTTTTGTGTTAGAAGGGAATATAGGAAAGACAGACTAGACTTTTAAAAGATGATTAAGAAGTGGAAAATTCCTGAAGAGGTAAAAAATAGCAAGTTCCAAATACATGCATTCTGTTCACAACTGAATCAGTGCTTCTCAGATTCTAAGAACCTGATAGATACAATTTTAAAATGTGGATTTGGGGGCTCCTACTCCAGTTTCTGATTCAGTAAGTGTGGGGTGGAAGCTGGGACTCTGCCTTTTAGTCAGCAATACCGGTAATCTGAATAAGGGCAACGATATTCCACATTACTCCACCATCCCCCACCCCTACCCCCTGCCATACCTTCCTTTGTGAAAGATGGCAGATCAGAGGCCACTAGGTCAAATACCAGAGCTCTGTAACAGAGTTAGGTGACTTAACAATCAATCACAATGTTTGTACGTCAGGACAGCGCAGTCAAATCCCAGGCTTCCCAGATTGATCACCATGCGTGGGAGCAGAAACTCCTCCACTCCTGTCTTCTGAGCTACACAACTGCCAGGTGCAGGAAGCATATTATCATTTTCATTATCGTTAATTGTTCCACTCCATTCAGAATCTGCATCAGGCCTTATGATTATCGTTAGTTAACCCTTAAAGCACACAGGTGAGTGTGCAGTTCCTACGTCCACTCTCATTTTCCCATGAGAACACACCAAGAGGCTTCCAGGCAATGGTTGCCTCCAGGGCTGAGCGTTCTGGGAGATTTAGGCCAAAAGAAGAAATAGGGGTGAGCGCTACACCCTCAGAGCACGGCACCAACAGCCACGCCAAAGCCAAAGTTTGAACAGACCTGTCAGAACAGCTGCTTGGTGATAGGAAATTCTGAATTTTTCCCTTTCTCTCTCACACACACACACACCACACACACACACACACACACACAGCTCCGAAATCAACTCCTAAACAGCATGACAGACTCAGCCTGTTTTTTCTTAAAGATTATGGAGCCAGTTTGTTGGCCAGCTGGTCCCAGAACTCAGTGGGTGCTCAGTCGTAACTCTGCCTCAGTGATTGGCTGTTGTCAGGGCCATGTTGATGGGTCATTAGTCCCAACGATGCTAGTAAATTATGTGCTTTTCTTAGAGCTAAACAGATCCCATTACTCCCTGGTTAATCACTTTCACATTTGAGAATTTTCACACATTACAGAGACGCATTTGTTTGCCAGGTACGAATAAAGAGCCCTTTATAAACTGCTGCTGTCTGCAAATGCTCAGATACCGTAAAGCCTTTGCAGGGTGTTTTAAAAGATGAGACTTTCAAACTCAAATTGTGTGTTAATTAATTCTGCATTTGAACCCCCATCTATATACTCTGTAGCTCTTGCCTGTGGCTGCTATAAATATGTCTAATTTACCATTTATTTTTAATGATACTAAATTTTCATATTTGCTGTCAGCATAGAATTCCCCTCTGGTGCATCTACTCTGTTCATATTATATTAAAAACAGATTTTCTTGGTTAACAAAAAAATATTGGGCCTCTTCAGCTTAAAAAAAATCTTCAGAAATTAGGATGAATTATTAATTTGTAACATCTGTGATTGGGTTATGTTACATTGGGAAAATCCCAAGAGATGCAGGGTAACGGTCTTCTTGAAAATGACTTCATATCTGAACCCCCTGGGGACATGAGGCCAGGCAGTGTCATCATGGCCTGTCCTTGATAAACTGCTGGATGGGTTCCATGAACTGTAAGTGGAAACATTACTGGTGTCACAAACACTTAAGGACAAAATGGCCCTTGCTCCCTTCTCAACAGATATTAGTTTACACCATATATTGTGATTGACGGAGGCATGAATCTGTCAACAATCAGTCATGCAGTGTTTTGCCTCTCCTCCCACTGAGAACAGCTTTCTAATAGTTCAAAGTCAAGGTGTGACTCCTTTACAATTCCCTACCTCTTTTCAATGCCATAAAAGCCATTTGGGTTTCAATGAAATCAACTCCCCCCAAAAGTGAGAAAGGTTATTTGCTTTGGATTTTAATCTCTGAAATCTGAAGAGGTTTTCATAAAATGTATATCATTAGAATTGAAGGTGCATGTCATGAAAGCATTATTCACGGAAAGACTTGAGTAGTCTTGGACTAGAACCAACCATCTGGGTAATGCTTAAAATGAATTTTTGAACACATTCCAATATGCCGTCTCCCCCTAGATGTTAAAATAGGTAAAGTGCTTCTTAAGTACAGTTTTTTAAGATGTTATTTTCACAGCCTCAAGTGTTCAACCACGGAGTGTTTCATAGTTTGATTCAGAGGCTTGTCACCAAGAGCACCAACATACTCTTTCTTTGCTCCATTTCCTAATTATGCATCACTGACTCCTTTATACTATGAAAACCCTGTAAGGGATTGTGATGTTAATTGCGGAAAATCAAATGCCTCTTGAGTAAGGCAGATTAGTTTTATAAAATACTGTATACTAAAAAGATTAAAATATGTAAATCAAATTTCACTTTTCACATGCAAATTCAATTTTCTTTTATACATTGCAAGAGTTTAAACCCTTCCTATTCCCTTCATTCAGCTGAGTTGGCCTAAGGGTTTTCAGAATAGAAAAAAGTTCTTGATCTCTTATAGACTGGTGATCTACTATCTTTTCCTTTTTATTTGTTTACAGTGCTAATAGTATCTAGACTCTAAAATCTTCTAATGATTTTTTTTTTATTTCATAATTTCTTACCACTTCCAAGCAGTCAATGATCTTGGTTAATTTATCTTCAGGTAAATTCTTCAGCAAGGATACACTTCGAAATGAAAAAGAAACACGTAATTATCTTCCTAAATTAAACTATAAATACAGATATACATAGATATTCTAAAATCTTTACTTTTTTTAAAAAAATTGCTATTATAGAAGCATGTGTACTCATTGAAGGAGGACTAGCAAGGAGGGAGTGGTAAGAAGGCAGCCCTCATGGGAAATCGTCATGCCTCAATCCTTTCTCCTCCATTCTCCTCTCAGGATTTTGAGCACACATGCACACATGGTTGACATGCTTTTCAAGATGCTGCATCCAGGACCCAAACCACACTCTTGGCCATGCGGGATCCAGCCACCCTAACTACCACACCAACTTCTGGTCCAATATATTTACATTTTTAAAAATACAAAGCACAAAAATAAATATAAATTCTCTAAAGTAAAAAATTCCAAATAATTGAAAAGATATAACATAAATATTCATATGAACAAATTGAAAAAACAAAGATCTTATAAAAGTGGAGAGACAGGGGTCAGCTGGTGGCATGGTGGTTAAGGGTGCTGGACTCCCACATGGCTAACCACGGTTTGCTTTCTCACTTTCCCTCTCTCTCTCTCTTTATCACTTTGTCCCTCTCTGGTCAAATTAAAATAAATAAATAAATGAAGTTAAATAAAATAATTCTTTTTTAAAGTAGAGAGATAAAGAATGACTATTAGAGTTGGAAAGGGTGGTTGGGATGGAGTGGCATGGAGAGAGCAGACTGATGTTGAATAACCAGAACCAAATTGCATATGTAAAAGAAATAATGCCTGCTGTTTTAAAATACAGTATGGAGAATAGAGTTAACAACAACTGGGGCCTGCAGGTGGTGTGGTGGTTAGGGCACTGGACTCCCACGTGGCTGGCTGTAGTTTGCATCCCAGACCTGGCAACTTGCTCGCTCGCACTCTCTCTCTCTCCCTCTCTCTCTCTCCTCTGGTGAACATGCATGCCCTGTAGCAAATTGAAGAATGATAATAATGATAAGTAAAATTAAATATATCGTTCTTTAAAAAAAGTTAACAACATACCGCATATATTACTATATTACAGTAGCCAATAAAGAGGATTTGAATGTTCCCAACACAAAGGGCAAATGATTGAAATGATAGGTATAGTAATATTAATTATCCGTATTTTATCATTACACATTGTACTCTTGTACTGATACATCACATTGTATGTCCACATATAAGTAAAAGTATTATGTTAAATTATTTTTTTTTAAATTGAGTTTCATATGTATTGAAAATGATTGATGGACATAATCACCGACTTTTATCATAAGCAAATAAATGCTAGTAGTAAGATAGCATAAAGGGGAAAAAAAGTCATATTTTGAATATTTGGAGAAAAACATTTACGTGTGTCATCGCTTTTCAAAATGAACTATATCTGGAAATGTGTTTCTTTTCACATCACAACATCTCCTCTGCTAGCTTAGGTGAGGAGGTCTACTTCCAGTGGAGAATCAGGTTTTTGTCTAAATCCTTGTAGTTAAGTAAAGATAGAATGGAGGATGTGAAAGTCAGCCTTGAAATAATCTTGGATTATCATTCATACTGTCCTGTCTTTTAAAATTAATGTTAGCCAGAGGCACATTTTTACAGATAATAATATACAGAGAATAAAACAGAATACTAAAACCTATTGGAAAAACTCATAAATTCCCCTCACTATGGTTAAGCAATCAATCAAATTACATTGTTCTCTTAAAGAAATTTCTCTTCTATTTTGCTCATTTTTATTCAGGACTATACATGTAATTTCTACAAGATAAATACTTCTTTCTTGTCATGTAAAATTTAAAATTCCTAAGGCCAATGATGCTACTCTTAAAAGACGGTCGGATCTGATTTTCGAAAAGGCAGAGCGCTCTGGACTGCCTCTTGCACATGTGCACCAGGAGGCTCGTGGCCAGGAGATGTGTCCAGCATCCAAATGTTTCCCTCATAATTGTTTCTGATTGCAAAACACTGGAACACCCTCCTATGGGAGAGCAGATAGATGCTTTCTGTCCACTCTAATCTCATGGTGCTGGAGCCAGGTGAAGAGATGATGGACCTAACCAGCATGGCTGGATCTTAGAAAAAAAAATACTGAGCAAACAATTGCATTAGAATAATAATGCTAGTTTTATAAAGCTCAAAAATAGATTACATCAAGCTATAGGCAAAAGCATACAGAATTGGAATGAACACTAATGAGCTTCCTGTATATTATGAAACAAAGAGAGGGATCAGCTGTTGGCATAATGGCTAAGTTGCTGGACTCCCATGTAGCCGACCGTGGTTTGAGTCCCGGACCTAGTGGCTTAAACTCACACCAGGAGCATGTGCATGTGTGCCCAAGATCCCGAGAGGAGAATGGGGAAGAAGCGATTGCTCTATGGCCATCCTCCCTGGGGGGGGTGATGTCTCACTTTCTGTCTCTCTGTCTCTCTCTGTCTTTCTGGCAAGCCCTATAGCAAAAATCTCTCAGAAAAAAAGAAAAAAAGAGAGAGAGAGAAAGAAAAAAGAAACAAAGAGAAACGTGTTTCCCTAATCTATCTCCCCATTAATAAAATAGTAAAAGGGTAACCAAAACTTGTCACTGATTAACACATCCTCATCATGAAAAACCTTACTTCTGCTTAGTAAGATTTAGTTAAATTCTCTCCTAGATACCTGTCACTTTTGGAGACTGGAGGGGAAATGGATATGAGAAAATTTCTTTTTTCTGTTTTCTTTTTATGATGGCAGGGATCAGGTCTATCTTGCCCATCACCGAATCCACAGTCTTTGGTACATGGTTAATGAGTATTTGTTGAGTGAATGAAACAACAATAGGAAGGAAGAAAAGAAGGAAAATATACTAGTGGATTATGTGAGCTCCTTCCACTAAGACAACACTTATTAGACTCCAAGGGTCTGACCTGCTATGCCTAGTGGTTCAGATCTTGTCTCAGACACTCAAACACAGCCCATACGTATTGGCTGACTTATGTGTCACATGACCCATAGACACTGACTGACTTAAGTATCCCTTTACAGTCCTTGTGAAGTGTGGCTTATTAGCCTTAAAAGCTGACCTCTGTTGCTCAGTTGTGGGATTCTGAGGTCACCCATCATCAGGGAGACCCTGCTCTACGATCGCCAATCATTAGTTGGCATTTGGGTAAGGCACCTGCCTGTCATTGTTGCCGCGCTCTGTCTAGGAAGGTAGATCAGCAAGATTCTATATGAGAATCTATGAGACACCTTAACACCTGCAATGTTCTACTGGCTAACGGCATGCTCATCCTACACTTACTGAATCCTCACTATTTGCCAGCCGCTCTACAGCCCTAAAATCATCAATTTCACAGGCTTGTTATGCAAGATAAAAATCACTACTAAATAAGAAGAATTTAACATTCATTTTTGGAAATTACATGATACATTATTATTGTTACCTGTTATCATAGGTAACATTTCATTAGAGTATGAATTGCAGCCTCAAAGACTGTCAAAACTCCCACAAAAAAAATACACAAAAAATGTAAGGAACTTATACTCAAAAAGCCTTCTAAATGTGGAACTGGCTTTTCCAACTACACAGGCAGTCATTTGTGTATAAAGTGATGCATCCAAGTCATTGAGGTCCTGAACAATTCACATAATAAGAATGTTCCAAAGACCCAGGACAGCTTGACAAGTAGAGTAACATTTTTGGCAAGTTACTTTGCTATAAATAATAGCAATTTGAGTAATTAGAAAATTGATGTGGTTAGACAAATAAGAAAAATAATATCTCAGAAAAGCAAGTAAGGACAGTAAAATAAATTACTTTAAATATTACTCTAAAAAAGATAATATTAGGGTCCAGCAGTTAGCATAATGGCTATGTCGCTGGACTCCCATGTAGTCAACTGTGGTTCAAGTCTCGGACCTGGTGGCTTAAACTCACGCTGGGCACGTGTGCATGCGTGCCCAAGATCCCGAGGGGAGAATGGAGGAGAAGGGATTGCAGCCTGGCCATCCCCACTGGGGGGTGATTTCTCACCTTCTATCTCTCTGTCTCTCTCTGTCTGGCGAGCACATGCACACTCTAGCAAAAACCTCTCAAAAAAAAAAAAGATAATATTAGAAAAGTTATCTTTTTGCTAACTACTCTCAAATTTTAAAGGTCTTTCAAAACCAACTGAGTGGCCCAGGTGAATATTTTAGAAATTTATTGCACATTTTTCTATTCAATATACTATGATTACATCAATAGAAGGCAAAGAAAATAGCTGGAAAAACTAATCAATGCAGAAGGCTAATAGAAATTAAATATAATTTGTATGTATAATGGTGTTTACTGCAAGGGAATATTTCTATACTTTGATTTAATGGTGTGGTAAATCCTCAAATGGAAAAAGCTATAGAAAAATCATTATTCTGATAAAATTAACATACCCACAATATGGTTACTTGATCATCTTTTATTTCCACAAGGTGTATTCTTACCTTCGTAGGAAGTTTCTGTATTGTTCATCTCTAGCTTGGGCTGTCCTCCTCATTATATTCTGGAACACCTCCCGATCTAATGCCCAAGTTTTAACATTGGTAATAGCTTTAGAAAAATCAAGAAAGTAATTAAATAGTGTTTAGTAACCCATTAAGAAAACTTTCCAAAATGCAAAACAATGCATTTGTTGTATGTTCTTATAAAATAACATTTCTTAGAAAACACATTACTTACACATGCAAATGAAAGGAAGCAGCAAAATAAATAAAGGCTAATTTTATAAGTCATTTTGGTTTTGATATACACCATGATTTAGAATTACCAGCAAAAGATTTCCTTTCTAATTATGTTTTTGTTAAAATGATATTCAAATTAGTTTGCAATTCCCAATTAGGCACTTCATCATCAGGATGTAGTTCAGATTTGTGCTGTGATACAGAAGAAAGTCAGCCAACCTGTAGCCAATCCATAGAATGGACAAATTCACAGCAGATCATTGGAAAATTAAAGATTTCTGTGTATGTGTGTGTTTCTGTGTCTATGTTGTTTAGACATGGCTACTCAAGGGAACCAAAAGTGTGTGTTTCAATGTGTCTTTTTATGTTGTTTAGACCTTGTGGCTAAAGGGAACAAATATAATTTAAAGATCTCTGGTTACTTTTGCATAAAATATATACAAATAATTCATAAAAGATTAAAAAAAGAAAGTTTTTAAGAATTTTTTTTAATAGGAAAGACATTAAAGGCTAGCACAAACTTTTAAAAGGAAGTGGAGCAAAAGTAGCAGTTGTGAAAAATCTAGAAATTATTGTTATAAAAATTTAAAAAAAAAAAAAGGGAATAATGAGAACCTACAAAGCAGATCAAAACTCAAAGCTCTGGTTTATTGAACTTAGAGCAGGCATTCCCAACCCCCAGGGCCACAGACTGGTACCTGTCTGTGGCCTATTTGCTGTTGGCCCACCTGCTTTCTCCTGTCCCCTCCCTCCCCACATCACCACAAAGCAGATGGTGGGTGGCAGGTGAGCCAGTGAGTCTTCTACCTGTAGTCACTCCCTATCACTTGCATTGCTGTCAGGGCTCCACCTCCTGCCGGATCAGTGGTGGTACTGGGTTCTCATGGGAGAGTGAATACTATTGTTGTGAGATTGTATCATTGCATGTTGCAATGTGGGAGGGGGGTGGAAATGGGGTGCACGGTAGAAGTTGTGCCTTTGGATCATCCTAGAGCCCCTCACGCCCCATCCATGGAGGGATTTTCTTAAGTAAGGCAGGTCTTTAGTGCCAGGAAGACTGAAGACCACTGCTTAAGAGTAAATTAGAACTGTTTCCATATTCTCATTAAAAATTCAGATCCCTGGGGCCTGTCACCAGAGATTCTAATTCAGATTTAGTGGAGAATGCCAGAAAGTGCCTTTTTATCAAATACTTCAGCAAGGCTAATGCACAGAAACCAGTCCCAAACATCTAAATGATTCAGAAGAAAACCCAAGATTACCACCAATAAAGTCAAGAAAGATAGGAATCCTTAGCAAAAGCAACTAAACTAATTCAACAGTAATTCATGAAAACTCTCATTACTCTAATTCATATCCCTTTTGATGTTTATACACATTTGTACATTGGCTTAATTAATTTTTCTGGTTTATAATGTAGTCAGAACTGCATGGAGATCAGAAAGCAAACATTTTGGATGAGCCAAAAGCCAATGTCCATGTAGTAAAAAGTGAAGAGATTATTAAAGCAAATAATGGAATCATTTAGCTAAAGTCATTTTCATATTTTATATATCAGTATCTAATGGGAATGTTCTTTTTATCTTGTATTATTTGGGCAAGTGCTTTAATATAAATCCTATTGTAGACATAACTTTAGCTTTTCTATTAATAAGAAAATATGGGGCAAAATAAGACTTAAGGCTCTAGATCAGGATGCAGTTGTGACTTAACTAGATTATGCTGAACACCATGTGACAATTCAAGACAGCATTTCTTCTCCTGTTACCTTTCACAGAGGCAGTCCTGGTACAGTTGTATAAAATGGCTAGTTCCCCAAAGGTAGTCCACATAGGGATGGATGACAGCAATTTCTCCCCTTGGAACACCTCTAGTCGGCCCTCTACCAAGTAGAATTTAAGAAAAACACAGTCAAAATCTGATTGGGTTCCATAAATTTAAAATAAATAAATAAATAAATAAACTTACAGGTAAGATATTTCATGATTCTCATTATCATATACTGGTTAAGAATTTAAGAGTACAAACTGAAACCAGCTCTGCCATCTACTTACTATGAGCTGGATCACCTTGAAAGGGTTACCC